GGGAACATGAATCAAATATGTATCTTTATTCATTTACAATAAACTCATAAAGTACATCATTCTGATTGAAGCTAAGGGCATACAAAACTGTCTAACACCTTTCACTTAAACCAATGAAACCTATGGAATTTCGTCCCGATCAAGAAGTGAGAAAACCAAGAGACCAGCTCTTGCCATCTTTTTCGTCCTCAGGAACCGATAGTTCAAATCTTCTACAATCAACTAGGTGACCCGTTTCATTAATCTTTGGAAATCCAAACTGATGATCACGCTCAGATTGACCTGCCAGCATTAGCAAGATCCTTTCAAATACGCAACTACTTAGAAAAGTAAGCCAAGACTGTGAGACTCAAACTACTATTTCCCACGTTTTTATTACACATGTGTAATATTTCTCCACCTTCTCTTATTATTCAAATTCAAAGCTTCAAAGCCGTGTTGCATAATTTCCTGGTACGCTATCTTATTATATTCAGTATTTGTTGACATGCATGCATGCGACAGTTCAATCGAATATCTCTGAATTCACCTCTAAGGATTTGAGATTGGTACGAGAAACCTGGTTCAAAACCAATCTTCAACACAGCTAGCAATTAACCTCTAAGGATTTCACATCCGAGGTAGCTTGCAAGCTATAAACTCTTCTAAGTTACCTGTTTATGCGTCAGTCCGTAAAATAATAATTTCAAGTAGTGGGACAGTTTTACAGTTAACTAACTAATTACTTGGTTTAATTCATTATTTATATATAATATTCCAAAGACGGGTCCCCAGAAGAAGGTTGACTAATGTATTTATAATAAATAACTAAGCTAGATAAGAATTTGATTCTTTCATCTATCTATCTTCATCCCCGACCATCTCGATCGCCTACCTCGGCTATCCCAGACAGGCCTTGAGAAGATGGTGAAAGAAGCACTCTTTCTCTTAGTTCTCCTCCTGGTGGCTGGCCAGGGTTATGGCCGTCGTCTGGTTACAGAGAATTCTACAAATTTGATTTCAGATGGGATCGACGACGACCATGCAAGCGACGGATCTCCATTCCTTGCTCTGAAGCGTCTATCTTCACCGGTGACCTGCGAGCCAGAGTATGGCTTCTTACCCTGTACCACAAATATCTGGGGGCAGCTGTTCATCATTGTGGTATACGAGTACCTGCTATTCCTTGGGGAGAATTACATTTCTGCTGGGACTGAACTCATCTTCAAGCTCCTCGGCCCAGGAATCTTCGGTGCTAGCGCCTTCCATATCCTCGGTTCACTTCCAGAGGCCGTGTTAGTTCTTGGTAAGTTGTTATACTTCACACCTGCTTTCTTCAAGCTGTAGAGATCGATCGATGCATGTATATCTCCTCATTTAGTTTTCTGTTGCCTGTTATTCTTTGTTTCCAAAACCCCACAAATCAATTCCTTTAATTTTACTGCAACAATCATGATGGTCAAGCAGCTCAGCTTTCAGCTTTCTTATGTGCTATGTTAACGGAGTCGGGATTTAATCGATTAGCCAATTAAGAGTTGGTCACCAAAATTGACCAAGTCCTGAAAAATGGACTCCGGAAAACAAATATAATAACCCGACTTGGGACATGAAATTAGAAGAGAGAGGGTGGGGCGGGTCACCAATTAACCTGCTCCGTTATCCATCACTAAGAGCCTAGAACATGGAGGTGAGCGACCTATATATGACTTCTTTCTATTAACAACGTAAAGATCTACTTTATAACGTTGACTATAACAATTAGGCTGTGATTGGTAAGACAAACTGAAAGTATCAACCTTAGCTATTCCTCAACTTTCTGTTTCTCTCTTATTTTCTGTCAAACCAAACACAGCATTAGGAAAGACAACTATAACGTGAACCAATGCAAGATGTATTTGAGTTTCTTTATGCCGCCACTCATGAAATCTTATATGTTTTCAAAATTTTATTATAATGGTAGTTATTTATATTATATAGTCCCTTTTCTTTGATTGGAATTCAGTCCATCAAACGAAGGTACCACTTAAGCTTGTTTAATTTCTTCAGGACAAATGTACTAAGTGAAGGGATGAGAGATCCATCATATGGAAGGCCGAACCATGCAGGTAGGTTGGGCGAAATTTCAAAAAATTTCTCTCTCCCATGTGGGAATCACATTCCATATTTTATAAAACTACATTTTCAATGATCAATCATGAACCTAAATCAGACCAGATCTGAAACCAAAATGAAGTAGAGGCTTATACCTGATACGAAGTAACAATAACCTCCAATGAAGGTGTTCACGCCCAAGGATAGATCCAAAGACTGCTTCCACCGAATATGACACGGTGCAGGATGAAGCAGAATCAGCAGGATGGGTCTTCAACAAGAACCTGATTCTTCAGCAAGAATCTGATGGAGGGCTAGTGAGCATGACTTCTGATTACCTTTTCTGCCAAAAGGTAATATCAATAACCCTTCTTGATTGCTCCCACAGTGGAGATCAAACAGGTATGGTGGCAATAGCAAGAGAGAGCAAGAGCAGAAGATAGAAGCAGTCAAACTGTATGATGTCTTCTCTCTTAAATCAATAAACTGATGGATGAATCTGGAGGTTCGCCCTACTCCTCTATTTATATCCTTAAAGAGAGGTTCTCCTAATCCCATTAGGAGTTTCCTAATCCAAATCTTGAATTTGGATCTGGACTCTCTTTAAGAGATAAGGATAATCCCTTATCCTATCTGTAGATAAAGATCAGCCATCCTAATCTAATTAGGAGTTTCTTGATCCAAATCATTATTTGGATCTGGACTCTCTGAGTGGATAGGGACAATCCCTTATCCTATCTACTGATCTAAATCCCATAACCGCCCCTCTTTAATTAATCTCATTAATCTAGTTCGAATTGGGCATTAGGCCCATTAAGACTATGTGCTCACTTAACCTCTAAACTACTACCCAATTAGATATCCTTATATTGCGTGGTACCCAAACATTGATCTACACATCAGTCACATGGGTTCAGCCCAGCCTTTGTTACAATGCCTGGCCGAATTCACTGTAGGAGACAGTGAACCCCTGAGTCCATCACCATGGGCTCTTATTGGGCCCAACATTTACACTAAATGATCATTGGGTCAAGCCACCTTATAGAAACCCAAGGACTTTGGGCAGATGCAAGATTAGCCCATCAGGTATTACCCTCAGTGGTCTTACACTTAACCTCTCAGCCCATAATGATCAAACACTGCTCGACAATAGAGAACCTCTCCCTCGGTTGCAAGGTACAGCGTTGCACTCTCTAATCACTTGGATCCCGGGAATTAAAACATTTTGCAAACATTTTGAAACCACAATATATATATATATTTTGCAAAAAAAATTTCAACGGTTGAAATCGACTGCCGGCAGTTCTGTTTTCCATCAGAGAGAGTGCATCCCCGATCATTCATTATGTCCGACAAAGGGGCTGATCATGTCACTATGATCACCCACTCAGATGAATTCTCGAACTATCCCAACATACCTAGGTTTTGACCCCCTCTAAGGATCTCACTGATTGGCATATCAAAGGCAACCCAATCCAACACCTAGTGTAGTATCATAATCGAGTCTGTATATCTTTCAGGCTTACCGTTAAATGGTTGTTTCGTCATCTTTCCCTGAAAGCAACGTTCACAGGTTGGAAGATCATCTACAGTTAGAAAATCCAAAGGACCATCATTTACCAACATTGTGATACGATCTGTGTTAATGTGGCCAAGTCGGTAATGCCACAGGCACGTGGGATTAACTGTATCATGGGTTCTTTTCTTGGGGATATCATCTGGCGTAGTTTCGGTTATATTAATTTCCAGAGAAGAATGGAGAACATAGAGACCATTCTCAAGTTCTCCGTATGTGAGGAATTTGTTATTTCTTTTGATATTAATTATATTACTAAAGAGAACAGAATATCCATCCGCACATAGTTTTGAAACAGAAATCAAATTTCTTCTCAAATTAGGTACATAAAGACAATATTTCAGTACAATTATTCATTCTCTAAAAACGAACTCTACAGTTCCTATGGCTATAGCTGCAACACTTGTAAAGTCCCCAAGTAAAGAGTCACATCTCTGTCTCTTAGTCTTCTGCTTGTCCTGAACCCCTACAGTGAGTTACATGCATGAGTTGAAGCCCGGAGTCAATACACCAGAAAGCAAAAGTTACCAACAAATTGGTTTCTATGACAAAGGATTCGAAATTACCTTGTTTCTTGGTCTCCAAGTATTGAGGACAGTTCCTCTTCCAATGGTCGGCCTGCTTGCATAAGTGATAAGCATCTGATGCTTTGTCCTTCCTCTACCTTTTGGAAGTGGTAGCTTTCTTCTGAGGCTTTTTCTTTGCCTTCCTCTTCTTCTTGCCAGATTTACCAGCTTCAACAAGCATGGCAATGAGCTCATCCTTCTTGATCAGTTCCTTGGCCCTCTGCAACATATTGCTGAGTTCCTGGATGCTAACATTTAGCTTATTCATATTATAGTTCATGATGAACTGATTGAAGGAAGGAGGCAAAGAATTTAGGATGGCATCCACCTTAGTGACATGGTCAAACCTTGATCCAAGAGCCTCAAGTTCATTGATGTATCCCATCATCTTAAGACAATGGTCATGAACTTGCTGGTTCTTGGACATTTGCACGGTCATGAACCGTTTCAAGACCTTCTATCGAGTAGAACAATTCTGCTCTTCATACATCGTCCTCAAACCGTCCAGGATATCCTTGGACAATTCGATTGTCATTGTATCGGATTGTCTAAGGATGCTATGATGTAGCAGCGGGCAAGGGAATTTTTCTCTTCCCATTCCTGGTAGCCCTCCTACGGGCCTTAGAAGCCCTATCTCCCGGACATTCCGGGGCAGGGTTTTTAGTTACTTTGTCCAACTTTTCAGATGTCAGGACCAACATAAGGTTACAGTACCAGTCAGCGTAGTTTGGGCCCTTAAGTTTGTTGTCATTCAACAGTTTTGCGAATTGTCTGTTTGCCATTTCTGTTAAAAAGCAAATATTAGTCCACAACCTTATTTGATTTATGTTATCTACATAGATATAGCTTTTAATCTATGTTTCATTCCCATTTGTTCATCTCTGGGATTTCCCACCTATCTCAATGACGGAGACTGCGAATTATGTTTCTGGAAATTTGGGAAATCACATAGGGTGCATGGAGACAACTATTTCAGCTGCATAACACCACCACCTTTTTGTGAAGAATCATATCCACTCATCTTATGAGCTTTCCCTTTAGCCTTTGTCAGACAAGGTTCATTGCCATTTTAGGTTAAACCTTTCAGTCCAGTGAGTGCTCACCCATCATATTCGTGAACGCCAAGGTACCATGAGAGAGTCTTCCATTTTAGGATAGGCCCCCTCCCACATCGGTCTATGACACCCCTATCATCTTATTAAACATTCCAACAGATCCAACAACAAATGGATAGCCCAATTTTATGGTGGGTTTCCTCATTACTGAAGGACTCATCTTCATGCTAATGATGGAAGGCCTTTAGAGATTTCATCATATGAATCTCCCTATCACATGCACTCATATTTCAGTGGAGGGAACGAAATATTACGCCCTAGTTTAATTTAGGTCAAACTAAAGTGGCTCCCATTGACTTTCGTAAAGCCAAATTTAGATGGGCCCTAAACAGCTAGGGTTCCACACGGTTCCTCTTGGGGAGGAAGCTAGTGTGGGGCCCACCATGAAGGGAGATCATCCAATGATCTTATGGACACCATGGCAATGATGTGCATTCAGCCATGGTGTGTGCAAGAGCCACTATCGTATCAACATGGGCCAAGTACTTGTGGCCCATGAACGTTGCACATCACACATCCATACATCACATGTAGGAACAACATAATTGATCCAATCAATTAATAACTATAAAACCCATAATTAAAGCCCATAATAATCCATAATATTACTAATTAATATTATCTAGGTATATGGGCTGAATTGCAAAGAGCAGTTCGGCCCATATAGCTTTTATGTTGAAATGGGCTAAAGCAGTTTTAACATATTAAAACTAGGTTTTATAGGTGTGGGCTGAATTGCATCTTGCAATTAACCATCAAATCTTGGAAATGAAAAATTAGGGCTAAGAACAGCCCCCATCGAACCATAAATTCGGTCCAACCAGTTTGGTCCAATCTGGTTTGAATGAGTCTAGGGTTTGATTTTTAATTCAAGATTTAATTCAAGAACATGATCTGAAAGTAAATTAATGAAACAAGACATTCAAGAATCAGTAGGAGGGCTGTTCGTAGGACTGCTACACTGCAAAACAAAAGTTAGATTGCAACATAAAATTTCCAAAACTGCAAATCACAGATGGTCGAACCCTAATCTGCGAAATTCTCCTCCTTGCGCTTTCTACTTCAATTTCAAATGAAATAAAATAGAAAACCTAATTTCTATTAATATTACATTAAAATTGAATTCCTATACATTCTATCTAAAATAAAAAAAAAAAAACATTTACAGACCAAGAATGTAAAAGAACACCAAAATCGCAGATTTCTTGCGCCATTAAAGATTTCGATCTCCACCGTACGAACAACCAAAAAATCAAGAAAAATATGTATAACAATTCTAAATATAATTCAGATTTATAAATATTTAATTTCAAATCAATCGCCCAAAATCTGGGAACAGATTTCCCAAAAAACGCTAATCTGCACAAATTGGGTAGAACACCTTCTGCCCATTTGCGCAGTTCTAGATCAAGTTAATTTTGGTTCAAGATTTGAACCTAGCTCTGATACCACTGAATGGATGAGAGATCCATCATATGGATGGTCGAACCTTGCAGGTAGGTTGGGCAAATTTTCAAAAAATTTCTCTCTCCCATGTGGGAATCACATTCCCTATTTTAGAAAATTGCATTTTCAAGGATCAATTTTGAACTTAAACCCGACCAGATCTGAAACCAAAAGGGAGTGGAGGGTTATACCTGATACGAAGTAACAATAACCTCCAATGAAGGTGTTCACGCCCAAGGATAGATTCAAAGACTACTTCCACTGAAGATGACACGGTGCAGGATGAAGCAGAATCAGCATGATGGGTCTTCAGCTAGAACCTGATTCTTCAGTAAGAATCTGATGGAGGGCTAGTGAGCATGACTTCTGATTACCTTTTCTGCCAAAAGGTAATATCAAGAGCCCTTCTTGATTGCTCCCATAGTGGATATCGAACAGGTATGGCGGCAATAGCAGGAGAGAACAAGAGCAGAAGATAGAATCAGTCAAACTGTATGTTGTCTTCTCTCTTAATTCAGTAGACTGATGGATGGATTTGGAGGTTCGCCCTGCTCTTCTATTTATAGCCTTAAAGAGAGGTTCTCCTAATCCCATTAGGAGTTTCCTAATCCAAATCTTGTATTTGGATCTGGACTCTCTTTAAGAGATAAGGATAATCCCTTATCCTATCTGCAGATAAAGATCAACCCTCCTAATCTAATTACGAGTTTCTTGATCCAAATCTTTATTTGGATCTAGACTCTCTGAGTGGATAGGGACAATCCCTTATCCTATCTATTGATCTAAATCCCACAACCGCCCCTCTTTAGTTAATCTCATTAAGTCAGTTCGAATTAAGCTTTAGGCCCATTAAGTGTATGTGCTCACTTAACCTCCAAACTGTTGCCCAGTTGGATATCCTTGTATTGCATGGTACCCAAACATTGATCTACACATCAGCCGCATGGGTTCAGCCCAGCCTTTGTTACAAGGTTTGGCCGAATTCACTGTAGGAGACAGTGAACCCCTGAGTCCATCACCATGGGCTCTTATTGGGCCCAACATTTACACTAAATGGTCCCTGGGTCAAGCCACCTTATAAAAACCCAAGGACTGCGGGCAGATGAAAGATTAGCCCATCAGGTATTACCCTTAATGGTTTTACACTTAACCTCTCAGCTTATAATGATTAAATACTGCCCGACAAGAGAGGACCTCTCCCTCGGCTACAAGGTACAATACTGCACTCTCTACTCACATGGATCCCGGGAATTAAAACCTTTTGCAAACATTTTGAAACCATAATATATATATATATATATATATA